TCTTAACAGAGCCCCATCCAACAGCTTCTTCCCAGTCTCTCTCATTCTAGTGAGGGGTGGAGCCCATCAGCCCAGGCCCCTCCTGTGTGTCCTCTCTTCTCCATCAATGTCCATGTGTAAAGTGAGCAATTACTCAGCATCTCCTGTATGTTTGATCTTTGTCTGGAGCAGAGATAAAACAGAAATGAGGTCCCTGTAGGGAGATACTTGATCTAAGACTCTTAGAACTAGAGAATACTTTAGCTCTATCTTAAAGAATTATAACATGAGCCACATGTAATTTTAAAATTTTGTAGTAGTTACACATTAAATGTTCCATGGAATTAGTGCCTTGTGCATGCAGTAAGAAACGTGTCAGTTTTATAAAAAGTATAGAGTAGGCCCTGGCTGGTATAGCTCAGTGGATTGAGCTCAGGTCTGCAAACCGGAGGGTCACGGTTTGATTCCCAGTCAGGGCACATGCCTGGGTTGCAGGCCAATTTCCTGCAGGCCAGTTCCCAGCAGGGAACACACTAGAGGCAACCATACATTGATGTTTCTCTCCCTCTCTCCTTCCCCTCTAAAGATAAATAAATAAAATCTTTTAAAAAAATAATATAAGCATTGGCTATTACTCAAAAATGAAACGTGCATAAAGAAAAATTTTTAAAAAGTATAGAGTAATGTGCAAGGCACTTATATAATCTTAAACATTTTAGTAGTCACATTTTAAAAAGTAAAAAGAAATGTACAATTTATTTTAATACTTTTTAAAGATTTTACTTATTTATTTTTAGAGAGAGGGGAAGGGAGGGAGAAAGAGAAGGAGACAAACATCAATGTGTGGTTGCCTCTTATGTGTCTCCTGCTGGGGACCCAGCTGGCAACCCAGACATGTGCCCTGACTGGGAATCGAACAGGTAACCCTTTGGGTCACAGGCCTGTGCTCAATCCAGAGCTACACGAGCCAGGGCTATTTTAATATTTTATTTAACCCAATATAACCAAAATATTATCATTTCAAAGTATGATCAGTATACACATTTTTGAAGTATTTTACATTCTTTTTTTTTTGAAGTCATCAGTATCTGGTGTGTGTTTTATATTTGCAGTACAACATGTGTCTAAGCATGTTGGACATTGTAGCTTTTTAGAGATTTTGTGTAATACAAATTTTAAACATAATTGGTTTTAAAGTGTAATCATTAAATAAGTTTAAGATCTATAAAATGGACTATTGTGTATCAAATTAGAAATATTCAATAAAGGATTTGTTATAATAAGGAAAAATGCTGATAGACTATAGTGATAAGGTTAGGTCTGAAAGATTCTTTGTATAGACTCTTTTTAAAAACAGATTATATGGTTCATCCGGGAAAAAGAATTCCATTAGTTTTTTTTTTTCTCTAATTCTTAAAGGAAAACAGCTTAGACTAAATCACATTTATTGAGAATTTTTTAGGCCCATGGTAAGCAGTGTCCTCATGAACACTTTCAATTAATTGGGAAATTTATATATATATATATATATATATATATATATATATATATATATATATATAATTAAGTATCCCACAGTACAGAGGGAGTTTTGCTGATAGCAGTGGTAGGCAAATTATAGCTTATGAATCCATATTTGATCCATGGCCTGTTTTTGTATAGTCAATAAGTTCATTATATTCTGAAAGAATTTTGTTTCATGGAGGGAAAATGGAAGGAAATGCAACAGAGACCATATGTGGTATTCAAAGCCTAAAATATTGGCCCTTTGCATAAATAATTTTACAAATAATATGTGGGTTTGTTATTTCAGGATTTGGTGATATTCAGAGATGTGGCTGTAGACTTTTCTCAGGAGGAATGGGAATGCCTGGACTCGTACCAGAGGAATTTGTACAGAGATGTGATATTAGAGAACTATAGCAACTTGGTGTCAGTGGGTAAGCTTACCTGTGTCAGATCATTCGGAAATTCACAAGGACTGATTTAGGGCTGTCTTTCTAAAAATTGCCAGGAAAATGGCAATAACACTACTTGAACAACAATATAAAATTACAAAATTTTAAAAAATGCTAATAGAAAAAAATTAAATAAATAAAATAAAATAATTAAAATGCCTGATCATCTGCTTCGTAGTTTGGGAATAGATACCTTCAGCTATTAAACTGTGAAATAGCACTTTCAGCTTCTTCCATAACTCACTGACCTTTACATCTTTTTTTGCCTTTTCTTTAATCGCTTCTCTTTAATGAGAGCTAAATGTAAATTCTTAGATACAGCAGAACCATTGTCAAAGAACTCCGGTTTCATGCTGCTGTGGCTAATCTATTACCCACTAACTCGCAGTGTAAGCAGGAAGACAGAAATGTCTGGCTCTGCATCCCTGTTGAGAAAAAGCCTGTATAATGTATGTGATGGTGGGTTGAATCAACTGTTAAAACTCAAGTAGACACCTTTTTATGACATTTTCAATTTAATTGATTTATGATTAATAGTTTAAAATACATGAACTTTGCATTTACCGTTGAATGAATATCCTGGCAGAAAACTAATTACTTTTAGGCAAAATACCAAAAAATAGAAAAATTGGTCACATATATGACCATTTCCACTATATATATATAGTACTTAGTGCATACTAAGTACTAGGGACTTATCCAAGCACTTTACGTTTATGAAATCAAATGTCACAAGAATCTTATTGGCAGACATTATTATTCTTTTTCAACAACTGAGAAAACAGGCCCTAGAGACTCAGGTGACAGCCATGATTTGAAACTAGTGCTCACAGCCATTAACGCCCCTGTAACAGATAGCCTGTATGGCTTTAAATTAAAATCATGTGAGACTTCCAGCCAAGATGGAGACGTAGGTAGACATATTGTGCTGCTTAGAACTACCAAAATGAGGACAACAATTCAGAAACAAAGTAACAACCAAAACTGAAAAAAAATTGAACTGTATGGAAGTCTGACAACCAAGGAGTTAAAATAGACACATTCGTCCAGACTGGTAGGCAGGGCAGAGTCGGGTGATGGATGAAGAGAGGGGTCTCCGCACAGGAAGCGGTGACACCAGGTGCGCAAATCACCCCAGGTGTAAAAGGTGGCACCGGGCAGACCCTGAGCACCAAGGCACGGTTTCCAGACCACGGGCATGGGGTGGCAAATGACACACCCAGCAGGGCAGCGATTGAGAAGCGGGGCACCATGCGCAAGGTGACTGGCTGACCAAGCAGCTGTCCCACATTTGTGCGCAGATAACTGGGGAGCGAGACAGATCGCACAACTCAAGGTCCTAGTGCCAGGAAATAAAGCCTCAAAACACCAGTTGAAAACACTTGTGGGGGTTAAAGCCCAGGGAGAAACTCCCACCCTCACAGGAAAGTTTGTTGGAGAAACCCACAGGGTCCTAGAACATACACAAGCCCATCCATACGTGAATCAGCACCTGAAAGGCCAGGTTTGCTTGGGGGAAGAGGTGGAAGGGACTGAGGTGCAACAGAGAGTGGAGTAAAGTGCCATTTTTTCCCCTCTTGGACCCGCCTCCATATATGGCGTCACAACCCAGCAACTTGGGTTGCCCCACCCTGGTGAACACCTAAGGCTCCTCCCCTCATATGTAACAGGTGCAAACAGACCAAAACATTATGGCTCAAGCAGAAAAACAGCTCAAAGTCCCAGAGTCAATACTTCTATGCGACAAAAATAGCCAACCTATCAGATGCACAGTTCAAAACACTAGTGATCAGGCTGCTCACAGAACTGGTTGATTTTAGTCACAAATTAGAGGAACAAATGAAGGCTAAACTAAGTGAAATGAAGGAAAATGCACAGGGAACCAATAATAATGGGAAGGAACCTGGGACTCAAATCAATGGAGTGGACCACAAGGAAGAAAGAAACAACCAAACAGAAAAGAATGAAGAAACAAAAATGCAAAAAAATGAGGAGAGGCTTAGGAACCTCCAGGACATCTTTAAACGTTCCAACATCCGAATTATAGGGGTACCAGAATGGGAAGAGGAAGAGCAACAAGTGGAAAACTTACTTGAACAAATAATAAAGGAGAACTTCACCAATCTGGCTAAGGAAATAGACTTCCAGGAAGTTCAGGAAGCTCAAAGAGTCCCAAAGAAGTTGTACCCAAAGAGGAATACACCAAGGCACATCATAATTACATTAGCCAAAATAAAAATGAAGGAGACAATCCTAGAAGCATTAAGAGATAAGGAGACAGTCACCTACAAAGGAGTTCCCATCAGACTGTCAGCTGATTTCTCAAAAGAGACCTTACAGGCAGAAAGGGGCTGGAAAGAAGTATTCCAACTCATGAAAGGCAAGGACCTACAACCAAGATTGCTCTATCCAGCAAAGCTTTCATTTAGAATGGAAGGACAGATAAAATGCTTCTCAGATAAGGTCAAGTTGAAGAAGTTCATCATCACCAAGCCCTTATTCTATGAAATGTTAAAGGGACTTATCTAAGAAAAAGAAGATAAAAACTAAAATGACAGCAAACTCACAATTACTAACAACCACACCTAAAATAAAAACAAACTAAGGAAACAAGTAGAACAGGAACAGAACCAGTGTAATGGAGATCACATGGAGGGTTAGCAACAGGGGAGTGGGAGGAGGAGGGGGGGAAAGGTGTAGAGAATAAGTAGCATAGATGGCAGGCAGAAAATAGACAGGGGGAGGGCAAAAATAGTATGGGAAATGTAAAAGCTAAAGAACTTAAGACCCATGGACATGAACTAAAGAGGGGGAATGTGGGAGGGAGAGGGTGTGCAGGGTGGAGGGGAATGAAGGGGGAAATGGGACAACTGTAATAACATAATCAATAAAATATATTTAAAAATAAAAAAATTATGTGATGTTTCTACCTCTTTATTCTTGTTAGTGTTTGTGATCCTGGAATAACTTCAATACAAATGTTTTTTAATCCCATTATTCTTAGTAGTTCTGCAGCTTGATGAAGTAAATACTTTCTTTATTATGTTTTCTTTTTCCATGCAGGATGTTCTATTTCTAAGCCAGATGTGATTACCCTATTAGAGGAAGGGAAAGAACCTTGGATGGTTGTAAGGGATGAGAAAAACAGATGGAGGCCAGGTGAGTGAGTGCTGAACAGGCAGAGGTAAGCCATTATGGCATGGCTGGGAGGAAAACATTACCCTTAGAAATCTGGAAAGAAAACTTAGATATTAACATGAGCCACCAAAGAAATTTTACCTTTACTTCCACTTACCATTTATTTCTTTACTCATATTTCCCTCTCATTTCCATCGGGGAAAACTTTCTTTCCTAATGACAACCATTTTACCTGTTGGGTGGGCCAAAAATTCCATGTAGTGTTTCCATAAAATAAAAAACAGGTTTTTCTTTTTCACCATTAACTATATTCGATATTTTGAATATGTGGGCTATCTCCTGCATGGCATAACATTGATTATTCTCAGTGTCTCGTTTGATCGCGATCAACTTCAGCTGGTCTACCCGACCAAGGAGCCACATTCTTTGCAAGAAAACTTTGCAAACCACTTCTGATACATTCAGTCAGTTACAGCACCTTCACTATACACTGCAAAAATCTATTTTTGCGTTTCAGTTGCATTTTTGCCTTTTTAAATGTACAGTTGCCTCCATTTTCACCCCACTATGCTCCCTGCCGTCCCATCTGTCCCCACCACCCTCGAACCCACCACCTTTGGATTTGTCCTTATGTCCTTCATACATGTTCCTTGGTGCCCCCCACCCTATCATCCCCCATTATCCCCTATTATCCCTCTCCTTCCTCCTCTCTGGTTACTGTCAGATTGTTCTTAATTTCAATAACTTTGGTTGTATTTTGCTTTCTTGTTTGTTTTGTTGATTAGGTCCCACTTATAGGTGAGATCACATGGTATTTCTCTTTCACTGCTTGGCTTGCTTCACTGAGCATAATGCTGTCCAGTTCTATCCATGTTGTTGCGAAGGGGAGGAGCTCCTTTCTTTCTGTTGCATAGTATTCCACTGTGTAAATTTACTGTAGTTTTTTTATCCACTCATTTACTGGTGGGCATTTAGGTTGTTTCCAGCACTTGGCTATTGTAAATTGTGCTGCTATGAACATTGGGGTGCACAGGTTCTTTTGAATTGAAGTTTTATGATTCTTAGGGTATAATACCAGCAGTGGAATTGCTGGGTTAAAAGGCAAAACCATTTTTAGTTTCCTGAGGAAATTTCATACTGTTTTCCACAGTAGTTACACCAGTCTGCGTTCACACCAACAGTGCACTAGGCTTCCCTTTTCTCCACAATCTCACCAGCACTTACTGTTTGTTGACTTGATTATGATGGCCATGCTGACTGGTGTGAAGTGGTGTTTCATAGTGGTTTTAATTTGCATCTCTCTGGTGGCTTGTGATGCCACTCATTCTTTCATGTGTCTATAGGCCCTCTGGATGTCCTCCTTGGAGAAGCATCTGTTCAAGTCCTTTGCCCATTTTTTAATTGCATTGTTTGACTTCCTGCTGTAGAGTAGTGTGAGTTCTTTATATATTTTGGAGATGAAACCCTTGCCTCAGGTATCATTGGCAAATATATTTTCCCATATGGTTTGTTCTCTTTTCATTTTACTGCTGTTTTCTTTAGCTGTGCAGAAGCTTTTTATTTTGATGAGGTCTCATTTGTTTATTCTTTCCTTTATGTTCCTTGTTCTAGGGGACATACTGGTAAAAATTTTGTTGCATGGAATATCTGAGATTTTCCTGCCTATGTTCTCCTCTAGGACTTTCATGGTGTCATGACTTATATTCAAGTCTTTTATCCACTTGAATTTATTTTTTTGTGTTGGTGTAAGTTGGTGATCAAGTTTCATTTTATTGCATATAGCTATCCAGATCTCCCAACACTATTTGTTGAAGAGGCTATTTTTATTCCATTTAGTGCTTCTGCCACCTTTGTTGAATATTAATTGACCATAGAGGCTTGGGTTTATTTCTGGTCTCTATTTTGTTCCACTGACCTATGTGTCTGTTCTTATGCCAGTACCCGACTGTTTTAATTACCATGGACTTGTAATATAGTTTAATGTCAGGTGTTGTGATCTCTCCTACTTTGTTCTTCTTTTTCAAAATTGCTGAGCTATTCAGGGTCATTTATGGTTCATATAAATGTTTTAAAAATATATTTTATTGATTATGCCATTATAGTTGTTCCATTCCCTCCCTTCATTCCCCTCCACCCTGCACACCCCCTCCCCCACCATTCCCCCCCTTTAGTTTATGTCCACATGTCTCAAGTTCTTTAGATTCTATATTTCCCCTGCTATTCTTGCCCTCCCCCCTATTTTCTATCTACCCTCTATGCTACTTATTTTCTGTACCTTCTCCCCCCTTCTCCTCCTCCCACTCCACTGTTGCTAACCCTCCATGTGATCTTCATTTCTATGGTTCCACTCCTGATCTAGCTGTCCTTTTGGTTTGCTTTCGTTTTAGGTATGGTTGTTAATAACTGTGAGTTTGCTGTCCTTTCACTGTTCATGTTTCTTTAACTTCTTTTTCTTTGATAAGTCCCTTTAACATTTCAAATAATAAGGGCTGGGTGATGATGAACTTCTTGATTTTGATCTTATCTGAGAAGCACTTTATCTGTCCTTCCATTCTAAATGAAAGCTTTGCTGGATAGATCAATCTTGGTTGTAGGTCTTTGAATTTCATGAGTTGGAATACTTCTTTCCAGCCCCTTTCTGCCTGTAAGATCTCTTTTGAGAAATCAGCTGACAGTCTGATGGGAACTCCTTTGTAGGTGACTGTCTCCTTATCTCTTGCTGCTTCTAGGATTCTCTCCTTCATTTCAGTCTTGGCTAATGTAATTATGATGTGCCTTGGTGTGTTCCTTCTTGGGTCCAACTTCTTTGGGACTCTCTGAGCTTCCTGGATTTCTTGGAAGTCTATTTCCTTTGCCAGATTGGTGAAGTTCTCCTTTATTATTTGTTCAAATAAGTTTTTCTCTTGCTCTTTCTCTTCCCCTTCTGGTACCCCTATAATTCAAATGTTGGAGTGTTTCAAGATGTCCTAGAGGACATCTCCTAAGCCTCTCCTCATTTTTTAAAATTCTTGTTTCTTCATATTTTTCTGTTTGGTCATTTTTTTCTTCCTTCTGGTCCACTGCCTTGATTTGAGTCCCAGTTTCCTTTCCATCACTATTGGTTTCCTGTGCATTTCCATTCATTTCAATTAGTTTAGCCTGCATTTGTTCCTCTAATTTGTGACTAAAATCAACCAGTTCTGTGAGGATCCTGATCACCAGTGTTTTGAACTGTGCATCTGAAAGTTTGGCTATTTTTTCATAGCTTAGAGTTATCAGCTCTTGGGCTTTGAGTTCTTCTTGAGCCATGTTTTGGTCTGTTTGCGCCTGTTATGTATGAGGAGTGGAGCCTTAGGTGGTCGCCAGGGCAGAGCCACCCTGCTTGCTGGGTTGCGATGCTGTATTTGGGGACGGGGTCAAAGAGGGTCAATGGCAGTCCCCTTTGCTGCTTCCTGCCACTGGGGCCTCGCTCCTTCTCCTGGTTTATCTGTGCGAGAGTGTGTGACCGTGGTCAGCCTGCTGCCTTGCACCCTCACTGGGTCTGCCCATAGCAACTCCACACCTGGGATCCATATAGTTCAGTTTTCTGTGTTTTGGCTGCATTTTTTGTTATTAAAACTTTGTTGTCTTTAAACTGGGTTGTGCAAGAAGGCACAATGTTTCCACCTACACCTCCATCTTGGTGGAAGTCCAGTTCATATAAATTTTTTAAATGTTTTTTCTATATCTGTGAAATATATCATTGGTATTTTAATAGAGCTTGCATTGAATCTCTAAATTGTTTTGGGTAGTATGGACATTTTGATGATGTTCATTCTTCCAAAACATGAACATTGTATATGGTTCTATTTGTGTCTTCCTGTCTTAATTTCTTTCTTCAGTGATGTATAGTTTTCTGAGTACAAGTCTTTTACTTCCTTGGTTAGATTTATTTCTACATTCTTTATTTTTCTTATTGCTATATCAAATAGGATTTTTTTCCTGATTTGTGATTTTGATATTTCAGTGTTAGTGTACAAGAATTCCTTTGATTTCTAAGTATTGACTTTGTATCCCTCTGTTTTGCCAAATTCACTTATTAGGTTGAGTAGCTCATTGGTGGAGTTTGTAGGATTTTCTATGTACACTGTCATGTCATCTGCAAACAATGACAGTTTTTCTTCTTTTCCAATTTGGATGCCTTTTATTTCTTTTTCTTGTCTGATCATTGTGGCTAGGACTTCCAATACTATGTTGAATAGAAGTGGTGAAAGCAGACATCCTTGTCTTGTTCCTGATCTTAGTAGGAAGACTTTTAGTTTTTGCCCATTGAATATGATGTTTGCTGTAGGTTTCTTAAATGTTGAAGTATGTTGAAGTATGCTCCCTCCGCTCCCACTTTGCTGAGTGGTTTATCATAAATGGGTGCTGTACCTTATCAAATGCTTTCTCTGCATCTATTGACATGATCATGTGATTTTTTTGTTTTTCCTTTGTTAATGTGATGTATTATGTTTATTGATGGGCAATATTCTGCCATCCTTGCATCCCTGGGATGAACCCCACTTGATCATGGTGTATGTTCTTTTTAATGTATTGGTGGATATGGTTTGCCAGTGCACTTTTACCTTTTTTGAAATATTAAACATAATATGCACAAAATCTTGCTTGTTTTCTTCCATCTTCACTGTTAAAATGACTACACAAAAATTCACCTATTTTGATGTTTTTTAAAAATGCATGCTGATATGATGATAGCTATCACAATACAATCTAGCAAAGTTGTTTTGAATGCCGTTAAAAGACAACTAAGTACTATTATAGTCACCTCATGGCAAACAAACAAACTAACAAACTTTTTGGCCAACCCAATATTACATATATTTCTTCATTGCCTTCTTTTCATGGCATTGTAGTAGGAAAGTCAAGCAAAAACACAAACAAATGGATTACCAAATACCATGAAGTGATTAAGTATTATTAACAAAAGTGAGTAGAGTAAGAATGTGGATAATTATGATGGGCGAATGGGGTAATTTTGGATAGGATGGTTATGGGAGAGG